GATTCATTGATTCATTGATTCATTGATTCATTTGTTCATTTGTTCATTCATTCATTCATTCATTCATTCATTCATTTTGTATACTGCTGAACACTCATGGAAGTTTATAGCAAGGTAGAACCAAAGGAAACATTCATAATAAGCATAATCAAAATCATAACCCACATCAAATAATACCAATACTGAAAACAATAAACAGCAAGGCCAAAATTGCAAGACAAAAGTAGAATACGAGCAAAATAGAAACTGAAATACAATGGCAATTGGCGAGACACCCAGTGCTCTTTGGAAGAGGGTACAGGGAATATTTACTTTCAAGTCCAAACGAGCGTTCGGCGTGTTGAAACGGTCTGTTGCAATCGCGTCCTTCCCCAACATCTGGTTTTGCGACTGGCCTGTTCCTCCTATGACAAAGGGCACTGCTAACCCAGTATTGGTGGTGGATCGATGCCCGTTTTAAGGTAAGCACCAGTCCCCCAATGCCCAGTCCGGGGTCAGGGGGGCAGTGCCACAGGCAAACCCAATGAGAGAAACACAGGATGTAGTGGAAGGCTTGACATGAATAATTCAGTCTGAAGGATAAGACTGAAACTTTTATGCTGGTGAGAGCAAATTCTTTTGTTCCTTTAACCGAGGGCCATGTTCCTTCTGCAATAAGCTATTATTATAGAATATCCAAAAATTGGGGAGGGACATGCCTTTTCCTCTCTGTTGGTGTCTTACTTCTCCTTCCCTTCCTTTTGCCTTCCCTGCAATCTTTTCTTCTTCCCTTCCCTCTCTTCGTCTGGCACCCTCCAGATGTGTGGGGATTCCAACTCCCATCATTCCCAACTGGATGCCTTCCAAATGCATTGGAACTCCAAAAGCTAGAATCCCCAACTCTGCTCTGGCAGCTGCGCTCCAAAACGTGGGAGCCCCAGGTTTGAGAAGGAAGAGCCCAGGATAACCCTCCCCACGACTCTCTGTCCGAAAATCCATAAGCAAATAGAAGAGGCAGAAACAAACGGCGTGAAATAAAAATGGCAGTTAGTGAAAAGGGATTGCCAAAACGTAAGGAGCAGAGTGGCTACGAGAGCGGAAAACTTTGCCGAAGTTTTGGGTGCCTTGATTTTAATTTTTCTAGCCCGCGAGCCTACTGCACAGGGTTGTTGTGAGGGTCCCAACCAGGATGATTTTTTTTGAAATGACGATCCCAAATGTCAGGGGAGCCTAAACACCCGTGTAAACACCTGTGCACGCACAGGAGAGCAGAAAGGGGATTTGAACATGCGTTTGCCGTTCCGGATATTGCAGCTACCGCAAGGGAGAAAGGGAAATTTGAAGTGACACTTCCTCTTTGGGGAATTGGCTGCAATTTGTGGGCAATGCTGTCAGAGTTAAGCTGTAAATAAGACCAAAAGGGGGGAGCAGGGATGAAGCAAAAAGAGAGAAATTTAGCTTTCTCTGGTTAAAAAAAAAAGAGAGAGGGTTGTGACTTTTCTAACCTGGCCTGGACCAGCAGATTTCTTCCCCCCTCCTCCTTCCCCATTCAGGGGGGAAAAAGCCCTAAAACCTTGGCCTTTGTTACCATCTGTGGTTTTTGTGATTCTTTTGGTGTACAATGCTCTGTTCGCTGCAAAATGGTGGGTGGAAGAGATACAGGGACATTCGAAGCAAAGCTATTAATCCCCTGGCCGAAATAAGACGAAAGGCGCAGAAATAAGACAAAAGCAGCAGCATTCTCATCTAAGCCAGTTTCTCAAATGTGGCAACCTTGGAATTCTGGAGTGGAAGTCCACGAATGGTGGCTGGGGAATTCTGGAGTGGAAGTCCACACATCTTAAAGCTGCTACGTTTGAGAAATGCTGGTCTAAACTGATCACCAGTCAGTCACGTGTTGTGGCTGCAAAAAAAGCAAATGAGATTGATGTCGGCAAGAACACCGCTTCGGTTTAAAATCTCTCTCCCTGATGTTCAAGATGCAGTGGATCCTGTCCATCCTCATATTCCTGCTGTCTTGGCACGCCGTCTATGCAGGCACCGCTTGGACCAGTGAAGGTAAGACTAGTGGAAGGATCTAGGAGGCTCGATTATTTGCTTTGTAACTCCAATATCCCTGGAAAAAGCTGTAAAGCCTCATGAGATCTAGCGCCTTGCTTCCTGTGGCACCTTTGGCCAAATTCTCCATACTTCCATCTCTTCTTGTTTCACTTAAAGCAAGACAGCCATATCTCTAGATCTAAAAGGATCGGGAAAAGTACTCAGTACAGGACAGGCAGGACAGGCAGGACATCTGGGAAGAAATAATCTGGGCTGTCAGCTTGGATGTTGTTAGGTGGGCCCTCCTTGCCTTTTCTTTCTTTTCTAAGCAGTATCCCCACAATTTATAGACTGCAGAAGGCAAATGAAAGGCAACCCTTTCCAAGACCGGCCATAGTTTTTCTTCTTCTGATGGAACTGTACTTTGCATTTCTGAAATCATGGCTCTCAACAACAAATCAGGGAATTACCTGGCAGATGGATCCACCTTCTTAACATCTCCGTGGCTGAATAAGAAAGATAACAACTACTTTTTCCTAGCTCTGCTCTTCACAAGACAATTACATGGGAGAGTTGGTCTTTTTAAAAAAGATGAATTAAGCCTCTCAGTGTATCAGGGGTGTCTGTAGGATTGGGTCAAAAAAGTCAAGATGATGCACTTGAAGCTCGGCCTGTTTTTTATATGTGATCACATATACCGCAGACACCCCTGAGGGTTAATTTACCTGATGCTTTAGGGCAGTTTTTCTTAACCTTAGCAACTTTAAGATGCTGGACTTCAACTCCCAGAATTCCCCAGCCCTCACAGAAAAGTCTCTGGAACTTTTGGCCACTAGATTTATATTCAGCAGGAAATCCTGGGTCTAAAGCAGTGTTTTTCAAACTTGGTCACTTTAAGATGTGTGGATGTGTGGACTTTAAAACGTGTGGACTTCAACTCCCAGAATTCCCCAGCCAGCATGCTGGCTGGGGAATCCTGTGCATTGAAATTCACCCATCTTAAAATGGCCAAGGTTGAGAAACATTGGCTTCGTTCCAGGGTTCTTTGCTGAATTCGAATCTAGTGGCAGGAAGTTCCAGAGACCTTTCCATGCTGGCTGGGGAATTCTGGGAGGTGAAGTCCACCCCTCTTAAAGTGGCCAAGTTTGAAAAACACTGCTTTAGGGGGCACTGGAGGGCCATCCTCCAAATTAGGACTTTGTTATACTATAGTTAACCAAACCATAGTTGAGGATGAGCCAGGCCATTGTCATGCAAATGTTGTTTCTTGACCACGTAGGGCCCATCTACCCTCAGTACGCCACACTCGGGGCATCGAAAGTGGTCCTCTCTTGCCCGGTTCCTGAAGGCACATCCAGGGTGGAGTGGAGAAACCACGCTTCTTCAGAGACTGTCTTGAAGGGGGTGCAAAAAGATGGCAGCCTTGTCTTGCAGAACGCCAGCTTGGCCCAGGAAGGCGAATACAGCTGCCAGGACGCTACCACCGGGCAGAGCCTGCGAAGGATTCATCTCCAGCTGGGCTGTGAGTAGAAACCTGAGCACCTCCAAACTCTTTCTTACCCAAAGGTAGCCATCTGGGACAAGCCAAAATGATGTTGCATGGGTGATTCACTCGTTCATTCATTCATTCATTCATTCATTCATTCATTCATTCATTCATGCCAGTGTTTCTCAACCACGGCAACTCTAAGATGGGTGGACTTAGACTAGATGCTACCAGTGGTTGGGCTTGAAAAACTAGAAGTGCCATCCATTGACATCATCCTCCATCCATCAGGAAGGGGAAAAGATTTTGCCAATTTACTCCTGCGTGGGACCCCCCCCAAGGCTGGCTCATATGGGTGGGGCCCCTGAAGAAAAGGCCCTGCCTTGAGGCCAGCAATCCCCCCCCCCAATTTATTCTATAAATACATAGGTTTATTTTATTCTACAAATCTGGAGTCTAGGGAGCGGCCTTTGCGGGTCCGAAGACCCACACCCACCCTGCCTTTCTGTTCAGAAACGAATCTGGGCACCCCTCACCTCTAGCCACAGAGGGGAGCCTTAGTACCTTCCCAATCCAGGTCATGGGGGGGTGGGGGATACTTTTAGGCCCTTTTTCTCCCCCCAGAAAAGAGCAATGCAAAGAGCAGCCAGCTGTTCCCAGGGGTGGCGTACCTGTCCTTGATCTGTTTAGCAGCCTTCGAAGCAGCGCAAGAAAGATGGAGAAATGGGGGGGAAGGGGGGGAAGAGAGAGGGAAGGAAGAAGGGAAAAAAGCAAGGGAGGAGTCACAAAGAAGAATTAAAGAAGGGCGTCATGGCTGGCTGGGGAATTCAGGGAGTTGAAGTCCACCCCTCTTCAAGTTGCCAAGTTTGAGAAACACTGATTTATGCTCTAGGTTTTTATGGCTGCCCATTTGGCGAACGCAACTCTGGTTGACTAGCAATGTTAAAACAATTAAAAAAACAATATTAGCAAAGAATAGAAAACCCAACCATGGTCAGCAAGGATGAACCCAAACAAAGCTATAGACTGACACCTCCCAATGGGCCATCCGACCTCCTGGGTCACATCCAGGTCTTCAGCGCTTTGCCAAAGGCCAACAGGGTCGGGGCCAATCTGATCTGGGGGGCAGGATGGTGGTCCAGAGGGCAGGTGCTGGGACAGAAAAGGCCATTACGAAATGGGCATCATTTGCATAACAACCGTAAGTGCGTTTCACTTGCTCCCTATTTCCCTCGGGACCTATGGAAGGATGGATTTTTTTTTTAAATCCAGCCTACCCTAGCCTGGAAGAGATATATGAGATTATCACCATCATCACTCCAAAACCCGTGGCTAAGGAGGATGGGAACTGATAGCTGGAGCCAGCACTGAAAACCTGCTCCCTTGGGTCCAGGAGGCAACTGGTAGCCACCAGCCACCCACATCTGTAGCCCCTGAAAGCTTGATTCTTCATCAACCCACCCAGCTCCTTTTGAAACCCTCCAAATTCTCTTCCATGGTTGCAAATCCCGCAGTTCACACGCTCTCTGAAAAAGAAATGCTTTCCTCAGGAATTTCCTTGCCCTGAATTTCAGTCGCTGATCTCAAGAAACCTCTCTCTCTGTTTGCTATGCCTGATTTTATATCCCTCAGTTCTGCTTTTCTTATTCTCCTTCCTTCCAGGCTAAGAAGCACCAGTTGCTGGAAGTTTCCCCTCCTTTTTTTAAAATAATCCATACGTTTTATTATTAAAATATTAGAATGCAGTGAAAGTAGGCAAAAAGGAAGATAAAGCCAAACAAAAAGACTACTCCATTTAGATGGGGGGGGGGGGGGAAGCCTGTAAAAAAGGAAAAAAGATTCTTTCCAAATAATTCACTTTTCCCTTCCTTTCTATTTCTACCCTCTCCAAGTAGCCATGGTTTAA